TACCCCTTCTTTAGAAGTGAGTTCTTATAAGGAAGGGTCGTAGGGCACCGTATGAACCTTGTTGCAAGATCTTTAAACCTTGCTGCTGCGATCGAAACTCTTGGTTCGTGCGCCCGGCCCGATTTGTCGAGATGAGCATCTGCCCTGCATGGTATTTCGGACGGGTTTCCGGTTGAAGTGGTTTAGTTTTTCCTGTCCGAGCCGGCAAGGGGGGATGATGCGACCCAGGAGAAGCAGAAGCCAGTTTTTCAAAAGAATACCTCACGTACTCGCTTCTCGACGGCAAACCTCGAAGCTTAACCCAAAGCTTTGTGTAAACCGTGAAGGCAAACCTGCACCCTACTGGACGTCACGGAACCTGCCTTCCTTAACATGCTATCCTCGGGCTGCAGACCGAGTCAACCATAAGCCGTCTGGAATGCTTCAAAGCAGGGTTCGAGCTACGTGTTTGAGTCTCAAAGCTTGGGATTCAGTCCGCTTCAGGATTCGGGTCTCTGAGCTTGTGGCTCAGGGCTTCATGTTCAGTGCTTCGTGAGCTTGATGTTTAAGCTTCGAGGATTGAGGTTTGGGGGTCAAGCTTCAGGAGTTCAGGGCTCAAGCTTTCAGCTTAAGGAATCAGGATTGAAAACGTGGCGAAAGTTTCGAGTCGTGCAGATGCGCTCCAGCCATTTCCAGAGGCAAGATGCAAGATCGTAGGGGCATAGATCCTTTCTGGCACCCTTGGAGCCAGAATAAAACTCAAGGTCGCATGATTTCCTTGACGTTTCATAGCCAGTCGCCTAAAACCCTGGCCCTCAACAACGTCAGGTTCATGTCACTTTGGGAAACCACACGGAAATGAGGCTCGAAGGTCCGAGCCCAGAAGGCTCTTGGCTGGTTCTGGGTAGGATTTAGGGTTTAGGGTTTAGGTGGTTCTGAGTAGGGTGGGAGAGTTCCCTACTTGGCGCAATAAGTAACGAGGGGGCTGGCTATGATGTTCCCCGAACTCCTCTTGTAGTCAGTGCGTTGCTGAGATCCCTAGTCCAAAATATGGTACAGCATTAGTAAGTTTGCGGTCCCAAGCTTGCGAAGCCACAGTTAGGATGATAGGTCTAGGATTAAACTTGCATCTCTCGGAACTTGGAAGTGAGCGTGGGGCATTTTCAGTAGCTTTCCTTGTAAAGTCGCCAGCGAGGCCCATTTCCGTGGGAGTTGATGCAGGTCACCTCCAGGTAAGCTTTGCACTTCTATGGTCTGCGGCTCAGGGTCTAAGAGCCGCTATATCATCTTAAGCTTGACACACTTTGTATTGTGCCATTCCTGCACAGACCCTGGAAGCCTAAACCCAAACCCCTCTCCGGCCCTAATAAATCTTAGATTTGGTAGAGGCTTGCCCGATGTCTTGCCAGGCCGCTTACTTACGAGATCTGACTGCCAGCACCAAGAGTCTACAAAATATTGAATGTCGGGCCCAGTGTGAAGGCTTCGGGGTGAGCGCTGCCAGGGCTCGAAAGCAGCGAGAGCTTGGGATCATCAGGAGGAGAGTTCAGGATTCCGGTGGCTGCTACCCAGTGAAATACGCTGAGGATTTAGGGCGACCACGGAGTGCCCTTGACAATGTCAACAGAAGGACGAATGGAGGTGGAGTGAGGCCGCATCTGCAGGTCAAGGCTCAAGAATGCAGTGGTTTGACATTTGAGTTGACGCGAAGAGCTCGTGGGTGGGGCGAGCGTGCGGCAAGTATTGGAGAAGGGTTTAGGTCAACTGTGCTATATTTCGTATGATGACCCTAAACCCCAAGCCCTGAACCAACAAACGATGTTCAAAGCTCCCAGAACATCATCGGAAGTAGGGGGCCAAGGATAAGCTCTCCGAATAGCTAAGCCAAGCAGGAATCCCGACGACTGGTGGATCTCTGCATACATCATCGAAAAGCAGGGTTTCAAGTTTAGGGTTTAGGGAGTAGCTTTCAAGCTTCAGGGACAACGTTCCAATCCCGAAAGCCTCTGTGAGTCCGGTCAAAGCCCCAAAGCTTGAACCCGACGCACTGTAGTGCAATGCGAAAGCGGCACAACTCACTCCTACTCTTGCGCCCCGGCTGTACGGTCCCAAGTACAGGCGAAGACCATCCACCCCAAATCTTCAACCACAAACCCAACCCGGCCTGCACTTCGTACTCGGTGCCCGGCGCCAGCCCCGTCAACAAAGCCTCTGCCCAGAGGCGGCACAAGCTCTCTGTCGGGTTCCAGAATGGCCCTTTAATGTTAACACTCAACCCTCAACTCAAACTCAAACTGCACAACCCACAGCCGTAAGGTTTTCCGAAGGCTCGTAAGGGTCCTCTAGGGATCTGGGGCAGGGTTTAGGGTCCGGCGTTTGGGGCTTAGGGCTTCAGAGCTTCAAGGGTCTAGTCTAAGGCTTAGGGTTCAGGGCTTGGGCTTCAGGTTCAAGGTTCAAGGTTCAGGGTCTGAGGGCTTCAAGGATTTTAAGGATTTTGGTTTGGGGTTTGGTTTTCCGGATTCCGGTTACGGGTTCCTATGAGAACGTATACCCTGAAACATGGACCACTCAAGCCTTAACACCGAGAACGCCGAACGCCTGATCCTAAACCCCTACAAGCCCTCAACGGGAGGACCACTCCTGCCTCCCAGCTGCCGCCGTAGTCTTCTGGCTTTGCTCGCTCAACCTCAGGGGCTTCCTATGATTAGGGATACCTTGGCGGGTTTAGGGTCCCTTACAGGAGTGTTCCTGGATATTTAGGATTCTACGCTTTGCGGTCTCTCTTGTGGGCAATTCTCGTAAGAACCGCTCCACCCAGGGTCTTGGCCAGGATGGCTCCACAAGGCTCAGAAAGCCCCGCCTCCGGAGGGATGTCAACGGTCGCATCGCCCTCTTCGTCCTGGCACTGTTGTCGTTCGACTCGGGGCTCTGCAAGAAGGGGCAAGGATACCCAGAATCAGGTCTTGAATAGTGTTTGGCACGAAACAGGATTAGAAAAAGGTTTGGGGTATCACATAGGAAGTGTTGCTCTTATCGATTCAAGCTTGATGGCTCTTAAAGCCCCAAAGTTGCTCAATGAAGTCATCTAAACCTGTGCACAACTCCATAAAATGTGGCTGTCGAGCCGAAAACTACATGAGGTTAGGCCTTAAGCGGTTTCTGTTCAGGGTCTATTTTTTGGCTTGAGGGCGAGGGATGGAAGCGCGCCGATCTGAAGGTCCGAGCAACGACGTGATCTTCGGGTTTAGGCAGTGGGCACGAAGACTTTTCGAAATAACCCAACCATTAAACCCCCAATCTCAAACCGGCAGGCCTGTCAACTCAAATCCTGAAACCCCAAGCCCATAAACCCACTTGGAAAACCCCGGACCCCCCATAGCATCCTGAAGCAGCTTATATGCCCTAAATCCCCAAACTCCCAAACTCCTAGACCCCAAGGCAAAAACTTGCACAGCTTCCCGTTGTGATCGAACCCCCCCCCCCCCCCCC